GGCTCCGGGGGGTGAACAAAGGCCTTCTGTAGCGAATCGATGCGTTTTTGTAAGAAACATATCCATATTCAAAATGTAATAATCACTTTAATCTAGCTTGTGCTCACTGTTGTACACGGAAGTAGCTCCATGCAGATGACCTAGGACTTCGGCGTTGGGCATGTGCCGCTCAGAAGTGACGAACACGGAAGTGCAGGGGAGACATCAAAACAAAACAACGGTCACGAATTAGAAGTACAAAACAAGGATTTGTAAAGAAGAATGTCGGAGGATTTCAATATAAGCCAAGTGGAGTCTGGTTTTCCTTTGCTAAAGTAACGTCATCCTCCCGCAACTGCTTCCATGTACAACTGTTGGCGCAAGCTAGATTTAAGTGATTATTGTTTTGAAAATGGATATTTTTCTTACAAAAACGCATCGATTCGCTAAAGGAGGCCCTTGTTCACCCCCCGGAGCCGTTTGAGGCACTTTTTATTATGGATGGATGCACTTTATTTCACTTCTTTTGGACTGATGAACTGCAACACCCGCTGACTGCCATTAAACAGCTTGGAAGATCAAAGTCAATTTTTAATATAACTCCGATTGGATTAATCTGAAAGAAGGAAGCCATATATGCCTAAAATGGCTTGAGGGTGAGTAAATAATGGGTTAATTTTCATTTTGGGTGAACTATCCCTTTAAGAAATACTTTATCACAGTTTAAGTTGACTGTCTATTCTGTGCTATGTATATACATGCTAACATGCTAAATTTAAATGCAAATGTAATTTTAAGCAGTTATACTTTAGCCTTATATTTAATATCAGAACAAGTGCTAGACTCGCCCATGGGTGCTAATTGCTGGTTCACTCCCACATGTCTCTGCCACAGAAATGACTGGCTCCATGGGCGGCAGGCTTAAACTGGGCCTCCTGTCTGACTGGCTGTGCTGGATGAATGGCTGGGGTGCTCGTGCAGACACTGGCAGCCGACCACGCACACCCCAGGGACGAGGCAAAATGCTTCTACGGAGGCCCATGCCTCAGAGGGCTTGGGTGTAGGAACAGGCTAAGCCTCAAATAATGATAATGAGACCAGACAAAACACTGATCGAGCATTACTAAATACTCTTGAAGAGTCCTCACTACTGTTTTCTCTAGACCAGTGCTACACTTTGGGGAAGCAGGAGGTGACGTTGCCTTAAAGGGGTAGGTTGTCTTGTCGTGTTGCAGGGGTGCTTGGCAGTGTTTTTGGCCAGCAGAAGGTGGGGTTGGGAGTTTACGGAGTACAGGAGGGCTAGATGAAGTTGAAGTAGAGGGTTGACTTTTCAATACTGGAGGACTAGGGAGTCTCCGATGTAACAGAGGTGTGGATGGCAACACACCAGTTTTGGAAGCAGTTGGAGTGGCAGGGGTTTGGTTCTTACAGGCATTGTTTGGCACTGTTTCATTGGTATTGTTCTCCTTTTGTGAAACCTCTACGTCACCTTGGCAGGAAGAAAGCTGCCTGTGGCTCTGCTCAGCTGTAGGTTTCTCTGTCGGTGAGTCAGAAGAATGCCTCAAGTGGATTATCTTTCTTGCTTGTTTATAGAGGGAGGCAGCCTCCTCACTTTCTATGTCTGTTTCATGGCTGGAATCATGATGACCACCCTTCACAACCCTGGTATCCTGGTGCGTGGAACGAACTGGCGACATGCTAACAGAGCCCTTACACAAATTCCCCTTACTGGGTAGCACTGTAACAGACTGCAGAGAGGCTCGTAACTTCTGAGACATTGCATTCCTTTTTGGGAGGGTGGGTCGGCCTCTGCTTGATAAATTTTTTCCCGTGTCCTTTGTTTGTACGTTTTCAAAGGAATTGTCCATGAGAACCTCAAGTGGAGGGGGTGGTAGATTGTCAATGTCAAGATCCTCTGTCCTTTCAGAGCATCGTGACTCCCCTTGACTACCGAGCATACTGTTTTCATTAAATGCTAATGTGGCAGACAGACCTAAACCTGGAATGATGGAAACACCACACTTTCTAACACCTTTAAGAGGTCCAAGAATTTTTGCACGGTCTGGGCTCTGTTTACTTTCCTCCAAGCTCTGGCTAAAGGTGTCGATCAGTTTTTTTTTAATAATTATTTTCCCTAAACAACCCTGAAGATTGGCAGGGTGACGGTGGAGGAATTGGCACAGGTATTACCTTAACAGGCCCTTTAACAGGTGGTTCCTCTTCAGGAACTCGAGCTGCGTCGGTGAGCGCTTTGGCCTTCTGTGACCACGCTCTGAATTACATGTGAAATCAGTCCAATAGCTGGGCGAGACGTAACGGGCGGGTGACGTAATGACCAGGAAGCTATAAAAGCACATGTGGCGGTGCCGGCATCAGCTTCAGGAATGAAGCAAGCGCTGGCAGGGATGCTGGAAGTATGGCACCGAGACACAGCGTCTCGTTCCCTCGAGGAACTAGGGTTACATACGTAACCTGAGACGTTCCTCTTCAGGA